TGTTAACTTTTGCAGTTCAGGAAAGTAGACTGCCTCGCGTACGCGTTGGATAGTTTTTCGAATACCAGCATGAGAAGCTAAAGGGCTGTCATGGAGCTCCTGCAGGATATTTAATCTAAGACTAGCTGGGATAACAGGTCGAAATTCGTTGTTGGAATTCGTAGTTTTTGTATAAAATAATAGACCATCTATTAGTTCGTAATGGGCCGCCCTATTTCTTATCGCCACAATATCTTGGTGGCTAAAATTTTCAGGATCCTTCAAATACTCATAAATACTTCCAAACTCAGGATCCTTACCCAGTTCGGTTATTACAGTTTCTCGGGAATTTATTGTACATGCTGTGAGCATTGCCACTTTTTACGGTATTACCCTTTTCATCTAATTTTAATTCGTGATAGGGCATCTGCTACGATATTTTCCTTTCCGGGGGTATGCTTGATTACCAGATTATATTCTTGTAGCTTGAGTGCCCATCTTATTAACCTTGGGGATAAATTTTTTCCCTGAGTACAATCTAGTTACCGCCGCATGATCAGAATACACTGTTATTGGCGCCTTTCCAAAATAGACTCGGAACTTTTGCACTGCTAACAGAACTGCAAGTGCCTCTCTCTCGGTCGCGGAATAGTTTCTTTGTGTTTGATTTAAAGTTCGGCTAAAAAAAAAATGCCACGGGCTGCTGATTTTGCGAAAGTACCGCTCCTACCGCATAATCCGAAGCATCCGCTGAAATTTCTAAATTCTCATCCTTTTCAGGAAATTTCAAACACAGGGGCTTGCGTTAATGCTTGTTTTAATTTTTCGAAAGCACTATTGGCTTCGGCCGTCCACGAGAATCTTGCCTTTTTCCTTTTTAATTTTAACAATGGCTCAGCGATAGCCGCAAAATCTTTTATAAAGGACCTATAATATGAACAAAGTCCTAGAAAAGAAGAGAGCTTCTTCGCCGTGTTTGGAGTCGGATACTTTTGTACAGCGATTATTTTTTGATTCGTCTGTCTCGATTCCTTTTTGAGATATTTTGTAACCTAAATATTTTAATTCAGGGGCTGCAAATTTGCACTTTTCAACATTAACTTTTAGACTGGCCTCATTTAATAAAGAAAACACCTGTCTTAAATCTTGTACATGTTGGTCGAGATTATCACTAGTAATAATGATATCGTCTAAATAGATAAATGTGGACTTTCCAAGAACAGGTCTTAACACAATGTCCATGCATCGCTGAAATGTTGCCGGTGCCCCTGAAAGGCCAAACGGCATACGCAAAAAATGCATAAGTGCCAGACTTGGTTATAAAAGCAGTCTTAGGCACGTCCTCAGGCCTAACCCCTATTTGAAAATAACCAGTCGTTAAGTCTAAAGTCGTCATAAATTTGGTTGATTTTATGTTCCTTAAAATTTCTTCTATAATCGGTAACGGATATACCGGATATTTAGTTATGGAGTTTAATTTACGGTAATCAATAGCGAATCTCCACCTTTTTGGATGCTCCAAAGGATAGTCATTATTTTTCTTACATAAAACCACCGGGCTAGCATAACTACTTGAGATGGGCGTTATGATCTTTTTACGTAGCATATCGGTAATATGCCATTCTATAATTTTTTCCTTATTCTTATCATACCGGTATGGTTTTTTGACGAACTGGCAATTGCAATCTCCGGTGTCAATACTATGGTTAGTAACCTGAGTAAATCCTGGAATATCACTAAATAACGAAGCAAATTCACTTACCACTTGTCGGATTCTATCTTGCTCGTCATTAGGCAGGTGGTCAAGATTTAACCTTGGCGGTTCAACCTTTTCTTCACACGCAACTGGTTTCATCGTCAGCTTAAGGGACGCTTCATTAAAATCCAGCGTTGCTTGTGCGTCTGAAAGAAAATCTATTCCTAAGATTAATGTGCTTGCAAATTCTTTACTATAAAAAACATCACCTTTACTTGTTCGTCCTTGATACGGATATACAAAGGTACTTTACCTATGCACTTACATTTTTCTCCTTGCGCCGCTAACACTGTCGTATTATCCGAATTATATATGCGGTATTTGCGAAAATACTTCCTAAAAAAGACTTCTGCCACACAGGAACACTGCGCGCCGGTATCCAGGAGTGCGGTGGCTGGGATATTATTCACCAACACTTCAATCTTCGGAAGAGTCAAATTTTTCACCATTACTGTATTTAACTTGTAAGGAAGAGGGGTTTTCGTTGGCCTTCGGATTTCCGCACCCTCTCCGTCAGCAGAAATCCGTTTTAGTTTAAATTATTTTTCCTTTCCGTGCTTTCCTTCTTTTTCCACTGGCCTTGAGACTTTTTTTCCTGGGTTGCTATTGAACTGTCGACGTTCGCCGGCTGTTTTTGAATGCTCGGGTTTCCTTGCCCACTGATTCGCTTTTTTTCTCCGTAGCCGTGTGCTTGAGTTTGCTGTAGTCTTGGCGTACCAAATTGGTTTCGCTGTTGATATTGGCGTCTTCTTTCAATGACGTCCGCCGTTCTTCTACTTTCAAACTGGATTGCTAGCTCAAATAACTTTTCCAGTGTAGTCGGATTTCTTAATTCAATAAAGTCTTGCACTTGGGGTAGTAACCTCGGCAAAATCACTTGAATTATTTCAGGATCCGGACGGTTTCCATACAAGAGTTTGAAGACGTGAATTTTTCTTAAAATAAAGCTCGAGAGGTTTTCGATTCTTTGTTGATATATGCTGAAAAGTTCCGTTTCTAATTTCGCACGATCCCTTACAACAGGGAAGGCTTTTAGTAGGGCAGTCTTGAAATTTTCGTAAGTATAGGTGGGACTTCCTGCTTGACCCAAGAGACTTCTGCCTATACATTTGAACCAGTTAAGCGCTTGGCCCCTCAAAGCGCTGGTAGCTAAGGTAACTTTTTGAAACTCGTGCACGGGGTAGAGCATGAAGTGGTCATCCAATTTTTCCAAAAAACTGGTTACCGGTGAGTTTCCATTAAATGTTGCTTCTGGTTTCATCGAAGCGCGCATGGTCTGGACGATGTAACCAAATCCTTCCAGGGCGGCAGCTGGCATTTCTGGATTCTGAGCCGCTTTCTGCAGGCAGCACAGGTTCTTCTTGAAACTCGGCCATGGTTATTCTTCTTCGTCGGGCGCCACTATCAGGTTCAATGTTCCTTCTTCTAACTTCTTCGGGAACATACAAGGACCTGACTCGGAACAGAGAGCTTACTAAAGCTATGTTCACTAATTGTGGGAAGTAGACAGGATACAGACGAAGGGTATACAAAACCCTTTATTTTTCTCTATTACAATAACTTCCGTACTTCGGAATACAATGACCCCTCCACTTGGGGTCTAACGTAAAAAATATAAAAATAAAACTAAACTCTAATTTAACTTTAGAATAATACAACGTGGAAGATTGGCCTTATAAAAACAGGAAGCGTATGTAGTACAGAGAACTGTGAACACTACAATACGTTTAAAATTTATCAAGAGGATTAAAACCTCTGGCCTGGAAGGCAAACCAGCAACTGAGTAAAACTTCTAAGGTAAGCGGCCTGCTTCGAACTCTGCTTCCTCTCTCTCGCTTGGCAAAAAGCCACACTTAAATACTTGGCGTTCGCCAGACAAACTTTGCATAAATAACCTTCAACGCTTATAATTCTGGCCGGAAGTAGAAAATAAGAAGTGATAGTAAAGATTTAAAATAAAATAAACGTTAGTAAACTAAGATCCCACAGTCAATTGTAAGATTCCTAAACATATTCACACTCCCATTAAATCGAGAATGAATTCAATTAAATTTTCGTATTTCTACTACCTAAAAAACTTCCTGAAGAACCAACTAAACACAGAAAAGGAATGACTCAATAATAGACAGAGCCTTTTTTTTACAAGAAGCCTTTAAATATTGAAACTTCTGACATTTAGAAATATTCGGATTGTTATCTACACTAGCTTAAAAAGATCATAGAAACTAATCCACTCATCTATATTTTCCCCTGTAAAAAAGTAGAAAGTTTCTAATTTTGATAATCGAACGTCAGACGAATTTACTTTTTGCTACACTACTTGTTTCGATAACAGAGTCACTGGAAAGTTTCTCTGTAACTTTTTTATTTATAGTTATCCATAATGCATCTAAAGTTTCTTGTATTGTTTGTTGTTCCGTAATGAATGTATCACAATCCTTTTTAGGACACAACAAAATTTTCCTCTTAAATAGAACGAAGCTCACTGTTAAAAGCATTTAGTTTCGTTTCGAACAACTTTACTCAAAATTTCTGCTTGTTCTAAATTCGAATTACCTTGCCTTTAAAACGTTTTATATTGCTTTTTAGAACCTTCTTTTTAATTAAAACTGGTTTCAAATCAGCCATTATGAATACAATAAATATTATACTAACAACTCTAGCAAAAGAAGATGAAATATTGGAACGTACTCACCCCAATGTTGAGGTTTCTACGCTACACCATGCCACGGAATAATCCAAAAAACGAAACTGATTTCACACACAGATGTCACACGCATAATCCACAATCGAATCGAAAGAACACTAAGCTGTTTATTAATCCACAAATCGAAAAGTGATTTAACTTGATAATATTTGAATAAATCACATCATATCCAACGCTCGCTAACTCTTCTCTCCGGTCGCTACGGACCAGGAATGATTAAGAATAGGTTCACAAAAAAAAGTAAGCGCACTGTATATATCACTTGTTTATTTTACATAACTCTTTGAAATAGAAGGAATGCCATCCATGTGACGACACAGCTCACGTCACTCTAAGCACTGTAGCAATTAATAAAAAGAATAATAGAATACAAATCACATAAGTTATGAGTTGAAAGAGTTGAAAGATCGTTACCATAGCAACCAGAATTGAATCATCAGGCGGCAACGCCATCTAATGTTGCAAAGACACACTAGTAAATCGTTTGGTAACAAAAAATACTAAACAGATACTATACAGTGAATTCATGAAAAATGATATAAAAATTTATCTTACTCATTACGGTGAAGAAAACGAAAGATTTTATATATACGTATACAGGTAGCATGTATTCAAACCATTCAAAAAAGCAGTTAGGGTATTTAAGAAGAACAATCAAATTCTAAGAAGAACAACGCGTTTTTAAAAACAGATTTAGGACAGATGTACACTATTCATAATACATATTACCCATATGGCATTTTAAAATATAGCAAAAGAGCTAAGAATTAAATTGGGTTGAAAACATTTTTATTAATATACTTCTTTATTATAACATTCAATGAAGAAGAGAGCTATAGGAGAATAAATTTGTTTCAAATACGAGCCAGGTAAATTACTTTTAAGAAGCAACAAAGATTACATAACAAAATTATTTATTTCTCTTCTTTTTCAAAGAACCATTTTTGTTTATAGATTACTATTTAAAATACTCATTTTTATTATTAAAAAGAAAGATCAGGACTTGTTTCTTAATGTTCCCTAACTGTATGCAAAAACTTCCTTATTTTCCCAGATTTTTTTAACTGCTTTTCATTTTAAAGCTTTTAAAACTTTTTCAAGCAAGTGGAAACATGCTGTTGCTGTTACATATGTCTTAATTAGAAATATCAATTCAAAAATATAAAACAGCTCAAGTATCACACAAGAACAATGATAAATAATAAAAAAAGGACACCCATTTATAAAGTTAGGCAATATTACTTACGTCCGTGATATCTTTAATTCCCACGTGCCTCCTGGGTAGTGCTAAACGAGTAACAACTATGGCTAAGGCGGCAAGTGGAAACATTGCATAAGCTAATCTGAATTTGCAGCAGCAAATTATAATTTCAGTATGAAGGACTGCATGCTGAAATTATTGCGAAGTTATGAATCTCGGGAGATGTTATTTTAATGCGTATTATTCCAATCAGTTATTGAGAAGCACAGAAAGTGCTTGTTTAAGATGTAAAACTCCCAGAAAAGAAAATTTTCTTTAAGGACTAAGGGTAGCGCATATGCAAAAATTGAGTAAGGACAGGGGAAGCATTCAAAATGGCAAGCAGTTTTAGACAAGAAAGGGAGTCTGGCTCTTAACGTTCTTCACTTTGAAGACTTGATTTGCTAACAGTACAATCATTTTCCCTAGCTATAATACTGCCATCTAATGCAGTATTATTATTAACCTGAATTATTGTACGTCAGTAGACATTTAGAAAATATATTATAAAAATACTTTTTTTTTTAAATCTACATAATTTTTTTTTCAATTAAAAAATAAAAAATAAAATAAAAAGTATGACCTCGTTTTATCCGCAAACACAATTTAACCGAAAGAAACTTTACAAAAAAAATTTTGAAAGTCATTCTGAACTAAAAAGAACATATGTGACACAAAAAAAAATTTCAAATGAGATATCTGGTGGAGATGTTGTGCAGATTACCACTGATGAACGACATTCTTGATGTATTCCAGAGTATGATCATCTGCCAGTATTCCCAAATGATCCACATTATATATTGCAGCATGATGTACTTTTTGCTTTTGCTTTCCCTGCCATTGCAAGCATGCTTGTAAGCTCCTTATGTTCACTGTTCCATCTCCATCACCATAAATTAATTTTGGATTATCAGGAAAGTGGGACGTATTTCGAAAATCCAACCTGTGTAAAATAAAAAAAAAATTACAAAGTAGTGCATGCAAATTTATTTTATTAATAGACAAGAATTTAACAATAACACTTTTAAAGCAAGAAAATTAGGAAATTTAATGTCATGATTCCTCGGGAGAATACATATATTGCATTTGCTTATAATTAAGATTTACTTGTGTGTTACTGCTTATTATTTAAAATGCAAGAGGATACGCAAATGTGCATATATTATGTGATACGCAAATGTGCATATATCAGTGCAGCTATAGTGCATATATTTATTATAAACTCAATCTTGATTATCAAATCTGCATATAGGAAAACATTTAAAAGTCTAATAAAGTCGACATCAGAAATTATTTTTGTACTAATTTTTCACACTAGAAAAAATCTGTCAATTTTTTTAGTTATACATGTAAAGTAAATTTACCACTGCTAATCATATCGACAAATTTTAACTCTTTTATTTGTAACTGACATGTAAATAATGTTCAATTAAATCTTTAAATGTTCCTAGATTATAATAATTATCCAACACAAAAATGAATCATGAAACTGGAAAAGTCGTGTCGCAGGCATGGAAATTACACAACTTAAATCTAGCTGTCAGACGGCATTAACAAACTCTGTACACCAGATATGTATAAAATAACACCATCCAGAATAGCATAGGGGATGCTCTAATGCAAATGGATTTACAGCATCTCTTGAATAAAGAAACTTATGTTTTTATCTGCGATCTTCGCACAAGTATCTCTACAACAAAAAGGGCATAAACCAGCTAACTGAAAGGTCAAATGTATGCTGAAGAATTTCTTTGATAATTTAAGTGGTGCCATTCATCGTGAATTTGAGCAAACATTTATGGACAATGTCTAATTTCAGTGCTCCACACAACATATAAGTGGTTAAGCATCTGAGAAATAAAAAAAGTTGCAAGATGTTTTTTGCTGTCCTTACTACATTTGCCTAGCAGCCGGTAGGGCCGGAGTTCGAATCCCGGTAAGGGCAGTACACATTTTTCATACTTTCTGCTTCGAGAAAAATAATAACTCTATAAAATGACTCCAGAAATAGCATAACTTGTATGGTTCCTTGTAAGGCTTGATATGGTTCATTCGATTATGGAAAAGCACTAAACGGCTATCTGGCCTAAGAGTCGGGATGTCTTCGTGGAGCGCTTTGTAAACGAAACTCACTCGTATACACATTTCACATAGGGAAAACCACGGGAACACCCATGCAGCACGCCTTTTCATCGGAATTCGAACTCCGGACTGAACTACCAGCAGTAGAATCAAGTGGAAGTTATATTTCAAATCAATGCTTCTGATTACATATATGGATAGAATTCTTATTACAGAAACAGATCTTTAACTTGCCATAAATATGTTATTTCCCAGACATTTTAGACTGTGATTTCGCTTTTTTCCCTCCCCTTTTAAGCTTGATTTGTTCCTTTCTGTAAGCACTGTGAGCTGGTTCTTTGGAGCAAATATTTTCAGGAAATTCCAACTATCCTAAATGATAGACAAAATGTGACATACAGCCAAATGTTACATAATGCCGTTCTTTATGTAATTCAAACTATAAAAAGGTCCGGTTTATGACAGAAATAAAAAAAATTCTCATAACGGTTTCGGGAAATTTAGAAGCACTAAAGGAAGTTTGTGTATGCATCTCGATACTACTTCAAAGATCATTAGATTTCTTTTAGTGTTTCAAAGTTTCAAATAAAACTGCCGTACACGCATTTTCTGTGAACGTTTTTAACACAAAGATATATAAAAAAACAAAATAATGTATAGATGCATGTATATTAGATACAGGTTTCAGTGCTATTCTACGCATCTGCAATTAATTTTTCCAGATGAAAAGAACAATGCACACTGCCCCTCAAAACTCCTAATACTGAGGATTTGAAAAGTGTACAAACAAGCTTATTAGAAACATGCATGACCTTTTCACAAAATAAGTAATTCTGCAAATTCTTCCTATTTATTGGGAAAGAAGACTAACACGAAACATTAAAAATAATATTTAAATAACACCCTCATTAAGTAACAAAATACGAAAAAATATTTTAACTTACTTTGTGATTTAAATGTAGTTTTGTACTCACATACACGATGAATGACTGCTTTCATCAAGAAAATAATAAAACTTAAATAAGTTAATTTATTTAATCACTTTGCATATCAGGAAGGAAAAAATATCAAAATGTATAAAATGGATACTTTTTAATACACTCACAGAACAATGGGAAAAATAAGAATTATATTATTCAGATATAATTTAAGCAGATAATTATAGATCACTCTTTATGTAATTATAATGGATAATCACAGATTAAATTTATTTAACTGAATAATCATCGGCTACAGTTAATGGACATAGCAGATTAAAAATTTTGAAAAATAAGAGCTCAGGCTTTGAGATTACCTGATGAAATCATTTAAACTTGTGCCATATTTCTTCAGCCAGCCATCCTTAACGGCATTTAAAATAGCAAAAAAATAGTTATCTTCTTTGTAAATTTGGTGTCACATTACTTCACGAAAAATATAAATCTAAACAGCATCGCGATGTTTTTTATTTCGTCATTCTGCCGGATCCCAGAGTCTTTCATTGATTTGAGCATTCGCATTAATATATCCAATCCCTAATTTTGAAAGTACTGTACTATTTTTCTTCTGTATAAAGTAGATTCCAAACTTAAATCATTCTTTTTATAAAATTTAAGAGAAAAAAAGAAAATTAGCAGTTAACTTTGTAGAGACATTAGGTATTCTTTTAAAGCAGGCAAGATGAAATATAAGCAACCGCCTTCGCCAGGAATTTAATCGCGGACCTCTGAAATTCGCGCCCAGCGTGCAGACCACCCCACCAAGAAAGCGGGAGAAATACCTTATATATTCCCACTTTTAAAGGGCGACTGGGGTTTTTAGGGGACAATATCGCCAAATCCTGGATGAGAAGAATCATCATCCAACAACCCTTTTAGTTCGAGCGCCACTGTAGAAACATTAGGCGTTATTTTAAAGCAGGCAAGATGAAAAATGAGCAACCGCCTTCGGCGGGAATCGAACCGCGGACTCTGGAATATGCGTACAGCGTGCAGAACACCATACCACGAAGACATGCCAAGAAGGCGGGATAAATACCTGATAACGTCTCTACAAAATACTCTCTTCGACAAAATTTTCTTCTGACCGTTGATAATGAGGATTCTCCACTTACAATTTTATCGTCATCAAGCCAGAATGAGATTGAAACGCTATCTGTTCCCCTGCAATTTGAGAATGCACATAAAAATAAAAAAATTGACTATTTTATTATTTATATCAGTATAAAATTAGCTCAGGGTCTTAAACTGCTGAGTTGGTAACCCATTTTGTATGGATTATGTAATACTCTGGGACGAAAGCCAACTCAGCGGATTTCAGGATTTCAGCATAAAATTAGCAAGCAGGTGCATGAGAAAGGCACATTTAAGTAAATTCGTTTTAGCTGTGTCCCACTGTCAATTGGTTTGCATTTAAAAACTTATAAATTCTGTGATCTTCTTTTTCTTTTTACTCCCTTTTGCTGTTGTGAGCCACAACTTCTTAAATGTGTTCCAATATTCACTGTAAAAGAACAATGAGAAAAACTTTAAACAAATTTTTAATACTTATGTAAAAAATAACTCACTTGACAACAGTATTATTCACATTCAAGCCATAAAGGCAATGTACTTCAACACCAGGAGGGTTTAAGCCAGTTCTTGCATATTTATATGTATCTTTATACATTTCATATCCAACAGGAAAACCAATATCTTGGAAAAACTCATTATAGTTAGATACAGTGTAATTTTTATTTGCTGTAATCATCAAGATTTCATCTTTACCCCAGAGCAAGTCAGAAGGCATTATGTAAGCAAGACTGGGGCATGTACGTTGTTCCTTACGTACGTTTGTTTGGCTTATAACAAAAACTCCAAGATTGTCTCCTACAAAATGAAAAAAAAAAAAAGAAAATATTAAAACAAAACAGAAATACTGTAAATTGTTAGAAGCAATTTTCAGTTTTAATAATTGAAAACCTTAAAAGTGTACTAAAACTTTTAAGCGCAAAACCACTAAAAATGTTTAAGCTGCAAAGCACGTCTTATTACCTAAAATTACTAAGCTTCTACTTTAATCACAGATCAATTTGGCAAATGACTGAATTCAAATTGTTTTCAATGGTTAAAACAAAAGAATCCAAAATTTGATTACACGCAAGTTTTTTTAAAACGATTCTTCAGCGACTGAAAAAATTACAGATATGATTTCTTTAAATATTGAACAATTATACGTTTTCAATCACAAACCCCTTTGAAAAAAATTGCAGACATTATTTATTCAGATATTAAACAGTAATACATTTTCAGTCACAAACCCCTTTGAAAAAAATTGCAGACATTATTTACTCAGATATTAAACAGTAATACATTTTCAGTCACAAACCCCTTTAAAAATAAAGTACATAGCTTCATGCAAGTAATAAGTAATTTAAACACATTGGTTTTGAGTATTCTCTAAATATTAAATTTACTTTTGTTAAATATATACGCAAGATAAAAAAATGAAAACAATCTTCTAATTTTAATTGGAAAAAGCTCCTTATATTCTTGAGAAGCTCCTTATATTCTTGCATTTTTATATTATAAAGCTCCTTATATTCTTGCATTTTTATATTATAAAGCTCCTTATATTCTTATATTTTCCTTATATTCAATTATTAGAATTTACACATTTCCCCTTTCTGTCCTAAAAATGTTACTGTTTATAATATATGACTGTTTATAATATAGTGCGTCATTTCAAAATCAATCCCCATCAGGCTTTCTTACGTAAACCTGCAATGTATATATGTTATATAGCCAATCATATTAAAGATTTCAATTGAAATCAGAATTTTTTATCTCTTCTGAATGCTTCATACACATTCCCGCTTGCCTGCATCAAAGTAACACGCCGCACTCCCTTCTGTCTATCATGCATTATTTTAACATTCAAGCTTCCAAAAATTTTGGGATGGGTACTGCACACATAATCAGATTATTTGTGTAAAGAATTGTATAATCCAATAATAGAAATATATTGAACCTATGACTACGTCTCTTTGCAAATGTCATCATTCTATCCACGTAATAATCCTCTCCAATCTATTACATATATGTATGTCTACACAGAACGAAAATTCCAAACAGTAAAGTATTCATTACAGTATATCAAAGTTAAATAAAAAATTTCATACTTTAAAGTGTAACTTCAAAGACATATGTATAAATAAAACTTTGGTGTAATCAGCTAAAATTTAATAGAAAATTCTCTTTTATCCAGTTCAGAATCATTGACAGCAATGAAACTGTCAATGATTCTGAACTGTAATTTAAAAATTTCGTTTTGAAGCTGCTGTTTAAACTTGCTCTGAAAAATCTTGAATTTCAGTTAATGAATAATGAAAAAAAAATCTGTATAATCATTTTCAAAAATTTCTGCAAGGTCCATGTGTGAAGGTACGGAACTTATTAAAGCATAAAAAAGCTAATTACTTAATAACAACTGCACAAGCAATTTATTTTAAACTTATTATTTTTAAACATTTTAAATGTACCAAAAATTTAATTTTTAAAAAATGACAGAAGAAAACCAAATGACTTTATTTGGGAATAAGTTGCATCCTATAGCAGAAAACATTAATACAAAAGCATTTAATAATAAATACAAATTGAAAACTGAAATATGAATGCTTACGAAATACGACTATACTGTAAAGCATATAAAACTGAAATAATATGTGGCAATCCTGTTTTAGGAAAAATAAATTTTAATCTTGGAAATAAAGGAATGTAGACCTTTGTCATTTTAAAATAATGATCATCCCTAACTCCTGCACATAAGAAATTTATATCACAATGCAGGGAAGACAGCATCTTCACCACCCCATTACCTTTCTAACGGGTTCAAAACGGAATATTTGTCTAGTTGCAGAAAATTCATCAACCATCTATCCTCAGTGTGGACACACATTAGCATCTCTGAATAAGAAGATCCACATCAATTTCTAAAGTGGCGTACACAGAATTGAAAACCTTTAACTTGCTATCTTTACAAAGAGGTATGTTCTGTTAAATTTACAAAGGAGATTATGTCCAATGATCACCGTTCTTTCTAAACCTTTCCATTTGTACCATCACAGTTAGCATAGTCATATTCCGTAAGTTAACAGAATAGTTATATTCCCTAATGCTAATAGGGATATTTTATACTCTTAGTTCTTTCCAGATATACACACATTCAGAAACAGATGTTAAATTAAACTATGTTCTTCATTTAACAAAACATAGATCGACATCACATCATGATCATACCAGCAACCTACACCGTCTAGCAGCAACACGGTTTTCATGGATTTTCGTGCCAGAGGAAATCCCAGAAGACCAAAGCTCCCAAGGACTACCGTTATATATTTAATATGTAACAATCACATAATCCGAAACAGACCTGACAGTGTAATTACATTCCTTGTCGAGCCTTAACGGACTCCTGAAGAAACAGTGGTCTCCTCCATACTGTCCCCCCCCCCAAGTTATTGACATACGAGTGACCAACTCGGAGGAACATAGAACTACAGTTTCAGATTCGTGCTCGGACTTTTACTGCATCGAATCAGGAAGACCATCTTTCATTGTGAGATCTGTGAAAGATAAAACATTAACTTTCTGACATACAGACCTCTCTCATTAAGACTTTTGTATGTCATTTGTGTTACACAGCAGTTCGAAAAGCATATGCAAGCTCTGAATTCAGCTACCTGATACTTCTTGTTATATGATTAACAAAGAAAGAAACCTATCCTGAAGCTACAATTTTTTTTCTGCGTTCTAATCTAAAATTGTTTCGAGAGACCCAAAACTGCTCATCTTGAAAACTTCAACTATTTTGTCAATTCTGTAATTGACTACACTGCTTCCAAATGACCAGCAGCTCTGCATCTCAATGATTCTTCAAAATAACCTTCTGGCGGATTAAAATTTTTAGATTTGATCAACACTGAAATCAAACAGGGAAAATGAAAAAGCACTTTTGCTATGGCTCTGAACGACATCACACAGAAAATTGTTTCCAGAAATATTCAGAAACAGGTTAACCAATCTGCATTGAGTAATAATAAGTAAGTTAGAAATTTTGTTCATTCACCAAAAAGGAAACTGATTAATTACTTCGTGAACTATTATTTTTATGAGTTGTAAAGATAACTTTGAACAGAAGTACAACATAATTACCATTTTGTAACGCTTTAATTTAAGAAAAAGCGTGAATACAAATAATGACCAAAAATGTAATCCGAAAACTGAAATATTATCGAATTTAAAAATACAAACCTGATGCAAATGTTTTCACAGCTTTCACTGCACCTCCCCAGGCTCCTGCAAGTGAAACTAATGTTTTAATGTATTGATCTTTCCAAGCTTGTGTCTGCTGGTTAAAAAAGTAACTCATGATAGGACAGCCCATGCTGTGACAGATAAAAGTAACTTTGGTCTGAGAATTTTTCTCATATGTATCTTCAGTTAAATTTTTCAGACGTTTAAAATAGTCTGCCATTTCATCTGAAAATAATTAATAAGTACATTAAGAATCGGAATACAATTTTGTGGATACATGGATACATCAATAAACAATTTAGTAAGTGAATTATATGCATCACCACTTGAAGACACATTTTTAAAATATTTAAATATTAAAAAGACATTTCTAAATTTCAAATTACTTTGTATAGCTCATATGAAAAACTGGTAGATTTTTGTACTTCGCAGTGACGAGTACTCCACTGATAAATTTGATAAATACGAAGTTCATTTATATTGCATATTGAGTTGTTAAACATGATTTTGATGTAAGATACATAAATTTAATATTTGATCCATTATTTTAACATAACTTAAAATTATATTTGAAGTTATGTTATGGTTTTTGAATAATTGCATTTGTATCAAAATTCTATATTCGTGAAAAATCAGTAGGGGAAAAGGCTTTTATTCATAGAGTACTTTTATTTGCGATGGAAATAAAATTTATAATTAATGTATACGTATAATGACGTACATAAACTTGGAAATACACCATTTACATATTTAAGGTAAAATTAAATACAACTATTAACTAATTAAATATTAGATAAAATTTCATAAAATGCTTCAGATTAAAAATAGTTCAACTCAAATATAAACTAATCAAATAAATTATGTTGAATATTGCTTGGAAAGATAAATTCACGCAATTTGAGGGGTTATTTTCGATCAATTGACAATGCCGCTATTTTAGCTTATTTCCAAAATCTATGATCAAAATTTGTTTTGATAACATTTTTATCCTAAATGTTTGTGATCAACAATTTTACATTTGAATGAGATGATTTAAATGCATCATGTCCATAAATCAAGGATAATGCCAGCTCCTGCAAATAAAGGTTCAGAAACAAAACAACCTGACTTATTCATAAAGCCCATTTATTAAACAAAAGATAGAGAACAAAACAGATACCGTATGTAGGATACCATGCATAAACCTATCGCTGAGTATCAAATTATCAAGTTGATCTTAGGGAAGATTACTTCACTCAGTAAGCAATGTTCTCCGAAGTTTCAGTCACATGTAGGAGGTTCTTGGCGGCCTGCAATTCATGGGCCAAGCATGCTCCACACATGCTCTATCGGATTCAAGTCAGGCGAGAATGTTGGCTATTCCATACAGTGATATCTTCAGACTGAAGGCTTTTTTTACAATATTTTCACGGCGAAGATGGTAGTTGTTATCCATAAACACAAATTCTGCGCCCTAGGCACCCCTAAACAAACGTACATGTTGTTCCAGAATGATGTTCCGATAAATGTGGCCTGTCATGGTTAAGATATGAATGTTCAGATCTGTTCTGGAGCCCAGTATAATCCCACCCCAAACGAGCAGGTACTGCATCACCGTAATGGTGTCGTTCAATTATGTCGTCTTTTGGTAGTGGGTACCTGGAGTTTTCCATATGAAAGTCCGACGCGAATCAAACTGCAAGCTAAACCTGGACTCTCCGGAAAATATCACATAAATCCACTGTGACGATGTCCACAATGCATGTTCTCTACTCCATGTTAACAGTTGCTGACAGAGAGTTCCGTGGCGGAACACATCTGACAGGCCTGCGAGCATATAGACCAGTCTGTCCCAAACGTCTATGCACGGTGTGCCTTGAAGCTGTCATACTCATGGCTGAAGATAGCTGATGAGATAGGTCTAATGCTGTGTTCCTTCTGCTTCTTTTGACAGTTACTGCCAAATGCCCATCGTCATTCAGCGTGGTAACTCGGGGTGATCTGTATTCTAACGTCTATTGACATTTCCATCATTTTTGAATCGTTGCCAAAGCCTAGAGATGACGCTTTGGACTAACCCAAGTTCCTCGGATACTTCCGTCTAAATGCCCCTACATTACAGGTGGCTAATAATCCACATGGCTGCCACGTTACAGATGACCCACATTACAGGATAGCTATTCGGTTGTGGCACTGAGCGGCTTACAGAATGCTTGTGAGTAATTTTGCTTCTTTTGCTACCATTTCTTATATACATTTCTCTTGCACTCTCATCATTATGAAGTACTATAGGCGTCATATGATGGCTTCCTGTAATTTGCATATTATTCTCTTGCACTCTCATCATTATGACGTACTATAGGCGTCATATGATGGCGTCCTGTAATTTGCATATTATTCTTGAGGATCTGTGCTATGATTATACAAGTGAAATTTTTGCATTAGAGTTCGATTTCTGTGAGATTCTGAATTAGCTTTAATTTATGGACATGAGTATAAATTAAAAATATAAAGACAGAGATGCGATGAAAAAAATGAAGAATCTCCCAGTTCTACTGAAAGGCTTGGCAGTATAGCCAATTCAGTTCAGATGTCTGATACCAGTCCGTGCAGTGCTACTGCTAGCAGCTCTTCAATATGCTTGTGCAAGAATTTCTGCCTTACTGAGAGAAGTCACTAATTGGTAATGACTGTGTTTTAACCGTAAAATAATTCTTTTAAAGGAAATCTTACATTTAATGTATATATAAATATAAGAAAAATTTTCTATGCTGAATTTTCCTCAAAACGAAATTTTGATGGTTTACAGAAAAAAAAAAAAACCCTCATTATGAATAATCGAGATATCGGAACTCTATTGTGTCACAAGGAAATACCTTTGATTTAAATTGCATAGCATTTAAATAAACTTGTACTGTAGAAACATTCTTTAAGCTCAAAACTTTATATCTCAGAACTTTAGGCTACTTTAGGACAGTTATAATTATATGTCTGTTAAGTTGAAAGTAGGTTTGAAGTTTATATGTGCTACTTTAATAAGAAAATTGGGAATTTTCTATTATTTGAGTACTTATTTGAGAGAATAAATGAACTGAAAATTATAATACTCACGTAATGAGTCATTATGTTAAATATATCATTTATGTTAAATAAGAACTTGTTAGTTGAGTTTTTTAAATCATAACAAAACATACGAAAAGCATGTTTAATGGTAACTTTATAAATGAATTTTATGCAGACTACTTCTGTCAGAACAGATACTCAAAGCATTTAGAAACATCTGATCTTAAATATTAAATTGATTTAAATTTATAATGTGATGGTTTTTTAAGTATTGCTTAAAAGAAATTTATACCTTTTATGACTTCAAGTGGACTTACACCATTTTCAGAGTCAACAAAATGTGAAAAATCATACATTGATGAAATATTAAACGTGGAATTTCAATTGAATCAAACCAATCTTTTTAAGAAATTTTCATTAAATATGTCAAAAAACAAAATTAAAAGGCTTTAGTTCAATATTTAAGCAATGCCATTAAAATTTCTTTAATTACAACTTTATATTAATATATGCCATTTTTAATTTTTATCATTATGACAAAGTTTTTGAAAATATTCATGATGTTTTGAAAAAATATAAGGTAGTAATCGTTGAATTTTTCGGATGTGATGGTCCTGGTATGATGATATAAAGGTGCTATGCTAGCATTGTATTTTTAAATTTTTGTGGTCTTTCTCGTATGGAGGATAATCTAGTGTTTTAAAATCCACATTTTCATCAAATGAAGTTTTATAGCAGCTTTCACTTATTGTTATGATTGACTAACTTTTTTGTCAAAAATGGACTTACATACTTTTAAAGAAAGTGGCTGAAATATTCATTTCAGAAATATAATACTTTCTCACTTATTTTATATTTTAAAATTTCTTATATATATCTTAAATTTTCTTTGAGAAAGGTAATGACAAATGTCAAAATGCTGGAGTTTTGAATATCAAACTAAAGAAGGCCTAACTATCAAATATTCATTGATTATGTGCAATTTCATAATACTATAAACATGGAAGAAGAATAAAAGGGACGTAATAGTAATATAATATGCAATTTCAACTACATTATTTTTTTTACTTTTTGATTAAATTGATAGTTTATGGACTTACTTGGAGCTTTCCTGAAGTCATATGGAGCACCTCGAATATCTACGTCTCTTGTATAACCTTGCGTTACTAGTATATCAATGATGTTCACAAAATAAGAACCTGAACATAAAATTATCAAGTATAACAACTGTATCGTTATATTTACTAAATAATAGATTATCAAGCACATAATTCCACAAAAAAATTAGTTTAACTCCACCTCTAAATGTTGATTTGACACTACTAGGCGCTAAATCTGCTTAAAAATCAGACGTTTGATTGTAGATGTATACCAACACTGAAATGATTTTTATTAATCAACCTAGGATTTTTTCTGAAGCTCAAAAATTGTAATATATTCTCAAATTTGGTATGTTGATTCAAGCAGTTAAAGCTCGCTAATTATGACCCAAGGAAATATTAACACAATGTAAATTTAATTTAAATGAATGTCATACATATTTTTGGAAGACCATTCTTTCCATATAATTTTACATACAGAAAATGTAAAATTTAAATGGCCAAAATGTTAGAACCTCATGAAGCATTAGAAAAAACTGAAGTTAGAGAAATTTAAATAATTCTTCCATTGGTACAATAAAAGATTTGTGTGTGACAGGTAATTCAGGTTTTATAGATCCACAAATAAAATATGCTTTTTGCAAGCACTTTACAAACACATGATCATTCGCAATAATGGTTTGGTTGTATTTCAAAAAACAAACACGTCTCATATTTTTAATAAAATTGAAAGCTACCAATGAGATACACGACAATATACATAAAAATAAAAGTAATTAATTAGGTAAAATGTGATCTTCTAGTCCTCCATCATACAGGTTATAGATTAACATTACCTCCCAAATGCTGTTATTTTTATTTTATCAAAAGCCAGTGCAATGTCCGGTCAATAACAGTACGCAAGAAATATGTGCTATTTTATTTAGTACTATCTGTTTCTTTATCTAATTTTTAAAAAATTCTACAATCAATTGAAGTTTAAAAAATTTTAATAAAAAAATTTAAACTTTAAAAGTTAATTAAAAATTAAGCAATCAATTCAATATTTAGTATTAATTTAATTTTGCTATTAATTAGTTTAAAAGTTAATATATAAACTGAAAAAAATTGAAAAACCAATTCAATAATTAATATCACTGCCATCATTTAATGATAACCAATATTAATTACATGAAATGTTATCAATTTAATTATATGCAAAACAGCAGTTCATAACTCTTTGATTTTGGAATCAAATCATAGTACAAGCGTGAAATGCCTAAGTGTTTCACAGTTGTTTTATGAAGTGTGAATGCATCAGTAAACACTGAGACAAGATATATATATATATATAATAATATATATGGAACTCTTAAATATTCATTGAACCAATCTGATACCACCAATATATAAATATGAAATGGCATAATAGACCGAAAATGATCCATTTGTGCTACGAGACAAGCAAAGCATAAAAGCGTGCAAATAAAAGCAATGGCATTTATGTAAGTAAAACCTGCCAGGATGGTTTAGCTGTGGTACAGCACAAATCATATAACTCTATCGAACATTTACTAGTAGCCATTAGATGGATCTTGCTTTTTACTAAGTACTGTTACTAATACTTATAGTGTCTGATCTATTTCTAGCATTCTACATGGCAGATTGGCGTCAATTATGCTTTTGAGACAGAACTCAAATCAAAGACTTCAAAAAAATCAAAATGTTAAGATAGACTTGCAACAGTTTTTCAAAGGTACTCCTTAAAAACTACATTTTAACCTAATTCTGTGTTTTAGATATTGTGACTTTACGAACTTTAACATGCGTATGTATATACTTGATTGCGTTATCTATCTCAGGTTTCACAAGTATTTTTCAAGTTTGGCAAGATATGAGACAAGTGGTTTGTTTAAAGTCGTAAATCTCATTGCTTGATAATTAATTATTTTGAAAGTTCAGTAAATTATGAAAACTCAGTAATAGTCATAGTGCGCTACTAAAAGGATTTTAAAATGTAATATATCAAAAAAATTGCTTAAAACGAAATTGCACATTTCTTAAAATTAGCAGTAGTAAAAAAGCTATATTTACCTCACATTCAAAGCATACATTAAAAGCTCATTTCAAAACACAGAAATAATATAATTATGTGGAAAAGAAACATTCATTCACTGAATACTGCAATTCTAGTTTTAAAAAAATTTTGATAAATTCTCTTTAAGAGATTTTTGATTGAACTGTAGAGATAAATTCCTATTTTTATTTAAAGTCACTGAAACATTTAATCTCACTATCTATCTTTTACCGTAACATATTATGATGATTGAATCCTCTGCAATCGTTTTTAATCAACTGCAGGTTTTGAAGAAAATGCTTACAGTTCAAAGAGCTTTTCAGTTAGCAGCGCACTAAGTAGCCACTGTGCTGCACATTAGAAGTACCTATGTAATGAAACATAATTGCATATAAGGGTCAAGAATGACACCCCGTTTCAGTAATTTTCACTCTGAGATATTTCACTTGCCATTTTTTTAAACTGCCTTTAAAGAAGAAAGGAAAAAAAAAAAAAAGAATTAGCAGCATGACTAATATGCCAAATTACTAATAGCTGCGACCAGTAATTCTGTGAAATGGAGCTAGTAATGATCATCATATAACTGTTGATTAGAATAACTTTTGATAAGCCTGGTGGCGCAGTGACTAGCAGCATCACAGGTCCGGGCTTCGATTCCTGGGCTGGTCAAGGTTGAATCAGCCTTCCATTCCTTGAATGGGTAGATAAAATGAATACCAAGTTTGCTTCGAGACCATACACCGGGGATCCTGCATCAAGCTGGCCACTTGTCCGGGATAGATGCTAATGCACTCCGAGACGCTTTCCGCGGTCTAGAAAGCAGAAACACAGATCCTTGCAGGCCATCATTGACAGCTGTTGCGCTATGGTTTTTTAGAATAATTTTTGATTGTGAATTTCTGCACTTTCTAGCTTGCATTTATTTTGAATTTATTAAAAAGGATTCCTTTTATGAATATATCGTTTGGGTTCATTTCTTATCTCCCGTAGATTTTGCATTGGTATTTATATTTTGACATAGTTAACTGAAAAATGCCCAGTTTAAATGTTATATAATAATAAAGAAAGAATGCAGCATTTAAACAAATAGTAAAAAACAGAGATTGAAAATGTCATTTTAGCCTGCTATCCAATCTTAACACTCTTAAAATAACAAAAAAAAAAAAAAAAAAAAAAAAAAAAAATCTACAAACATACTGGGTGATATCTCACTAGGATCCAGCCAATCAACGCTCGTAGTATTACCAAAACCAGGTACTCTAATATCCACACCAGGGGAATTAGATGTTGTTCTTGTTTCATTATCATAAACCATCCTTAATTATGAAATAAATCAAACTTGAGTACAGAAAAAAAAGTAAAAAAGTATAAAAAAAGTAAAAAGTAAAACTTTTACGTATCATATAATGGTCAAATACATTTTTTATAGCAGAAAAGAAAAAAATAATTCGTTATGTAAGCAAAATTAAAGAACTCTATTTATTTTTCAAAAAAAAAAAAAAAAAAATAACAGAAATAAATAAAAATATGTAAAAGTTAATTAGTATTAAACTGTAATAAGTAATAACCATTTAAATATGTATTACTTTTTGATGGAATTAAACAAAAATGCAGCATATTTAAGTAATGAAAGTTTATTTTCAAAATTACACACAAATGAATTATGTCTACTTTATTAAAAATATATATGACAAAATATCTTTAAATCAAGCCAAGTTGTAGATTAAACACGAACTAGCATATTTAACACGTAAAATTACTCATTAGAGGAGAATTTATTCATCTTTATTTAACATGTTAATTGCCAGCTCTGAAATAAAAAGTAAAACGTAGTTAAAAAGTAAAATAGTTGTAAAAGTAAAATAAAGAGTAAAATGTAGTTAAATTATCATTTTTTTGCTTCTAATTAATTTACCTGTTTGAAACATAGCACTGAATGCAACTTTTTGCCCACTATCGTAAACATTTTTGGGTATAAATCTACTTTTCAAACCAGACTTAAAGAATGTGTTCCAAACAATAGTGGCCAACCATGCTTCACATTCACAGATATGATAGAAGTTAAGTTTGGTTCTCAGCTAACAAATTTATAAACATATCCTAGACTCTGTTTCATTAATATAATGACAATTCAAAGTATGCTGGAGTATGAAATTAATACTTTGCTACCGGGAATTATTTTCTGTTATGCATGTTAACTAAAAAGTAATTTAATTTGCTCTAAAAAAAACTATTTTTTATGATTACTGTGTATATAATTAAGACACAATAACAATTTTGAAAATTAACGCTGATTTTTGTTGTTTGACTTCTGAATTGGTACTGTGTGTATAATGAGGATTTTAAACACTATAGTATGATACATCTAACTGGTTTTTTATATCCAAACAACAACAATCAGTGGGTCTAAAATAAAAATTTAGTGACCAGTTATAAATTAGATTGGCCTCCACACAAGAATTTAGTAACAATTAAAAGTAAGGTGGTGGAATTAAATAAGTTGCATTTCCCAAATTTAGTGATTAAGTTGGCCAGGTTTGGTGACTACTAGCAGTGGCCACTTTAATAATAAAGTACAAAATTTAACTAATTTAAATTATCGTTATATAATACATAGCAGAAATAACCCACTGTGTTTTATTAAATACAGTCTACAGTTAAATTATTAATAATCATTACCTCATATTGTCAATCCAACAATCAATAACATATGGAACAAGTAATTCAAGATTCAACCATAAGCTAAAATAATTTTCTGTCTTCCTATTGCAGAAGTAATGAACAATTTCTGGCTTATCCAGTTTTGCCTCCAACTGATTACCTCCATCACCGGGCACTGCAAACAAATGTTTATACAGAAGAAAAAGAAATTAAATATAAAATGTAAACAATCAAAGAAAAAAACTAAGAACATTTTTCTGCATCGTAATGCAAAAAATGAGTTTTTTTTAAATTTCATTTGCTTGTTCTATCACTCATTTTCACATGCATATGTTATGAATCATTTATAGATTAAATATTAAATACACAGATATGGGTACTTCCTTATTACCATGGCTCGCAATTTTTAAACTCCAAGTTGATAGTCAAGTTTATATGTAAGATACACTTTTCCATGATTGCTTTTAATATCACATCAGAAGAGTTTTTATCACCGCAAGGACATTTATTACATTAGCTCCACAAGATGATGATGGCAAATCGAGCCTCATTGATTTTTATTCTGCCACTTAGCAAAGCACCAGAGCCTTTTAGCACTTTGTAAATGAGCAGCTGTTATTGTATCAGTAAAATGATATTTATGGCTCAGGGTAAAACATCTTCAACCTGCTTTTTCCTATTCTTCTGTTTTATATGCTCACCAGTGTATTTAATAAATCTATGTATTTAGTATATCGTCGATCCCTCTTGCGCACATGGTTGATGACTTTTGTCATGAAGGTGACTGATCTCTATTTGGAACCTGCGTGATAAAGAATTCACCAGTTCCTTGGGATAAGCTTCCAAATATTCAGTGTTGTGGAAGAAACGTGCTGGTGATTTGTGTTTTCCCTATACAAATAGATTTTCATTTACTTTCACAATTTTTACAGCCCCACATATTTGTTTATTTGGTTGTCGGATTAGGTGCAGAGAATTCATTTCTCTCATAAAACTGTTCCAGCCAATAGCTGTATTTTTATAAAGTCTAAGTTGCTTCTTCCACAACTTACCGACATTAAATCTTTTACCCAATATATAAATAACTACGCTATTACAAACATTATTCAGAAGTTATTGAAAGGTATGCTTTTATTTCCACTAACAACTTTTCCCATTGCCCCTCTAAATGCTTTCACTGGAATGTAGCTTTACTTAATGGCCTCTTTCACATATTCAAATGCAAGATAAAATGCATCTTTCTTTATGAAACTATACAGCTTCCTCTCTTATAGGTAAATAACAATTTTGTTTGGAAAAAAGAAAGTATATTAATTTGTAGAACGGTCGGAGCTTTTCTCGTGATAAGAGAATTATGAGTAATTACGAATTGTTAACAAAATAACACGTACTTTACTCAGAGCTCTTCTCATCATAAGTAAACTCTAAGTGATCGTGAAGGCCATTGATGATGGTCTGAGTTTTGCCAGTTTGTTGATAATCATGACACAGCTTGCGAAATGGAGGGCGGAAGCATAATGAAAAGGAAATACCCAAATATGCGTGATGCCTGTCATAGTACAAGATGCTTTGGAGTTTTCACAAATAATAAGTAATCCTTTACCAGTAGTAATAAGAATGATGAAAGCACATATATTTATCAAAATCGTAAAAACAACCTTGTATTTAGCGTAAGTATATTGAAACACTCAATCGATTCCGAGGGCAGCTAAAGGTCCCTCCTCATCAGGAGAAAGAAATACCTAAGAAGAAGAAAAATAAAGGGGAAGGAGTCTCAGAAACACGTGGTCCTTATCAGCACTGCACGTGGTTATAACCGGATTTTTTAATCAGAGTTACACTGGCCGCCTATATATATTTATGCTAAAGAAATTGGGATCATGTAGAATATCCCACTACAGGAGCTCGATAAATGTGTAAAAGGAGAAAATCTGAAAGCAAACTAAAGTTTACCAAACTTTTATTTTTCTGATTTTCTTGGTCTCGACAAGTTTACAGGATTTTGAGATTAATATTCTGGACTACCAAGTTAAGATTTATCACCTAGTGGTACAAATGCTAAACTTTTCATCATTTTTCAATCTGGGTAAAAGATTGTTCAATATATGTGAACACTCGAAAGCTCTTATGCTCTGTTGACTGTTACGTGTATTTTTAGCATTTTATTATTATTCCATTAATTATTTTTTTAATATTTTAAGTTATAAATTAAACTGTTTAACTAATTAACTGATTTATTTGCTAAAATTGTAACACACTAAGAAAACATCAACTAAGAAAATAATATAAATTGAACATAAATATAAATTTAGATTAATGCAAATACAAAAAATACATTTATAGTTTGAGATAATCTTTTAGAGTTTTAAGCTGTAGCCATAATTAATCTGGATAAACGTAAATGAAAAAATATTTCTTAAATTTTTGTATAATCTTTTATAGTTTAGATTTTCAGTAGTCTAATAAACAACTAATGCGCTTAAAAATTCAGATACAAAACTGGCCCCCATACTAAAACAATTGAGAACATGTGCAGACAGATTAAGCAAGAGATGAAATTTTTGATTCCTAAGTTAGGGGAGTCTGTGGGGCATCTCAGGAACCGAAGGACATGAACTGTAGTAAAGAATTGCATCTGCTACAATCATCTAACGCTAAAATAAGACATAACCAAGAACCTCCAGAGGGTAAGTACTTTTGCTGCTTTCTTAACATACGTTTTTGGTAACAGCTATCTTAGAAATATTGCTTCTAGGAGTCATTCTTGTCTTAAAAAAAGCGCCAAAAATATCAAGGGACACCCGGCTATAAACTTTTCTACCGTATTCCTAACAACACAGCATACTGCTGTCTGGAATAGGTAAGCAAGTATATGCAGCTAAAAAAACTCTGCTGCTGTTTAATATTGCAATTCACTAAAATTACGCATGTTACTTACTTAGCTTAGGAAGGTAAGAATACTTTGAATAGAGAACTGATCAAAAAGATTTTAACTGCCGATTTAAATAGTTCAGCATTTTATCATTTCTAGAACGTATCACATTTTCTAGTTCAGAAATCAGAAGTTTTAGCACATTTTTTCAAGTTGTTAACATACACTGCTTCACATAATATCTTTGCTAATGAAAAAATTAAACTATTTAAATAAATTCCTTTTACTATTTATTCTAAGAATGCATTGCTTTATATAAAACCTTTTATTATTAATTATTTAGCGAAGGAAAACTGTTTGGTGATTTGTGATGTTTTTCATGAAATCATTTTGTACCTCGCTAATGGCAAGATAGGTCTTGGTATAATGGCACCAATCTAACAAGACAAATGTAAATATTATTGGATTTGGCTTCTCTAACTACTGTATTTAATTCATTCTTTGAATGTATATAAAAGACGAAGTATAAATACTTTTAAGCATTCTTTTTAATTTACAGATCAACTACTTTAGATGGAATTTTACCTTAGAGAACTAGATCATCCTGAAAAAAGCATAAAAATCCATTCTAAAAGCATAAAAGCATGGAGAAAATGCAATCTTCAGGATTAATAAATTCAGTAATCTGGGTATCATTAACGAAGATGTGCTTTTATTCTTGATTATACTAAAAATTTCAATTTTTGATAAATATTCAGCTTATAATTTTTTAAGTAAAATATTAGCATATACTGCTTCAAAACTGTGGATAAACTGATAAACTAAACAGAAGTAAATAAAAGAAATCTTCTGAATTTACATGAACTGCTCAATGGTGAAGGGAACAGAGGAAAAAACAGTTAATAAAGCGAAATTACAGGTCTAACAGAAAAAGACTCTTTATTTAAATTTATAAGGTATTTCTCCCGCTTTCCTAGCGGTGTAGTGGCTCTGCACGCTGGGCCGGCATCCAGAGGTCCGTGGTTCAATTCCCGGCGAAGGCATTTGCTCATTTTTTCTCCCCTCTCTCGCCTCCAAAATAACTAATGTCTTTACAGTGGCGCACGAACTAAAAAAGGGGTGTTGGATGAGGATTCTCCACATCCAGAATTTGGCGATTGGGTCCCCTAAAAAGCACAGTCGCCCTTTAAAAAGGGCAATATATAAGGTATTTCTCCCGCTGCTCTAGCGTGTCTCTTCGTGGCGTAGTGGTCAGCACAATGAGCCGCTATTTCAAAGGTTCGTGGTTCGATTCTCGGCGAAGGCGTTGATACTTTTTCAGTCTTTCTTGCTTCCAAAAATATTTAATGTCTACAAATTAATAAGATATTTAAATACACATATGTGCCGATTATAAAATTTTAATAAAATTTTTTAATTCGAAAAAAATATTCTAGATATGCTTTTGCAAAAGTTATTTCATTGTTTACATCTGTTTTACTCAAACACTAACAAACATAATACTTTTGTAAAATTTCTGTATTACATCCGGATCATGTTTGTACATATTTTAACAAAAAAGTTTGAATAAATACCACTTCATTCAGGAACACATTCATGCTGCACATTTTGAGTTCAATTTGACAGTTTATGGAGTAAATTTTTAAAAAATGGTCAGTTAAACACCTAAAATAAAACAGAATTTTTCTGATGCGCAAATTCTGCATTAATGGCCTTTGCAGTTAAAGAAGAAAGGAAAATTTTGAGCTTTGTATAATTGACACTGGTAAGAGAACTTGGCTATTTTAGCACTAGCTTCATGAATTCTAAAATAATTTGACAACAGGAAATATATAAATCAAAAACTTTGAACAGTAAGCATAACCATAAAATTTCTAATCATTTCAGTCACTGAAAGTTATTTTTGAATTTAACAAGGAAGAGTTAAATCTGTTTCATCAATTTAAAATATATACGTAAAAAGGTACGTGCTTAATTAAAAACATATCAAATTAAAAAAAGAAAGAAAGAAAAAAGGAATTAAAAAGAAAAACAGCTATCGATCTTTGTAAGAAGTTACGAAATTCATACCTAATATCACAGGGCTATGACAAACGGCCTGTCTTTTCTCTAAATGATACGCCGCAACAGGTAGCTGCAATAATGCCAGGAAAATTATACCAACAGATAAAATAGAAACCTTACAAGAAGTAAACATTGCGATTCGAAGATTTATAATTAACAGCTATAATAAAACAGAAATTCGAAACGCCGAAGAGCAGAGAAACGGATTTGCTTTTAATAACGTGCGAAACGACGTCTTCCGAATGCTATTCTGTTGATGTCACGTGGAGTTGAAATTGTGTGATACTACACTGATATGTTAACGCAGAGCTTTTTTTCTGTTTTGTTTGTTTGTTTTTTAATATCTTAATCTTTTCTTTGATATGCCTTTTAAGCTATTACGAAATTTGTTGCAATATATATCTAATATAAATTATGTAACGCAAGTCCTGCTGAGTAATATGCAGAAAATGTTTTCTTATTTCATTATATTTTTAGAATTAGTGTTACCATGCGTATTTAACTGAAATATTTTATTATTTTGCATCTGTTATTAGTCTTCTTTTTTTATCTAACAACACAGAAACGTTTCTTCATATTTCAAATTTCAAGGCAAAATAGCCTAATTAACTAAAGCTAGCTTAAGGATAAAGAATTTATTCAGCGTAAAATGGAAACGGGTCACACTGAATAATAAACTAATATAGCTGCCATATCCGACGAACGTTCTTTAGACATGACTAGTAGCTGTCATGTAAAACGTCTATGACTTCGTCAGGGCGGCCATTTTATAAGCCAAATACGCAGAAATCTCTCAATGCTGATTATACCACGGTGCAAAACTAAAAATGGAGCAGCTAACCAAAAGAGACAGAGGGAAAAACTAACCTTATCATTTTTATACATGATGGCTCATACTATTTAATTGTTAATAACACTTAAATGGATAGACGGAAACGTCTCATTTTTAGTATCGTTCTACTGCTTTCGTTTTAATGGCGAGCATCAGCCCTTTTTAGGCCTTCATCACTACTAAGGTAAGAAGTGGTGGTCATTTTATTCTGAAAGCACTTACTAGGCAGCCACCGTTATAATCACCGTTATATTATAATAGGCTTACGTTATAACCCTAACCACCTCCTATAAAATGACAGACAATTTAGATCCATTCCCACTCCGGGCTTCGAACCCGGGCCTTTTAATATCGCAACTGGCTCTCCTAACCACTACACCGTCTGCTCAACTTGCTCTGCTGTTAAACATGCTGTATTTAAGTCCAGAAATACATAGAGAACAGTGGAGGGATTAACAGAACCTTTTCTATGTATTTACACGTTTTGCTTAATCACACTACTCTTCTAGCACAATATCCATCACAGGGCATACTCCTCAGTACGGAAATATTACACGTGCCCAAAGCCATAAATCTGACTGATGTTAACACGTTGTGTCGATTATCTTATCAGGGTTTCTTTGAGCCATCTTCTTTGACTGCACAATTAGCGGCGAGGAGTGCCTGAAGAAGCTAAAGACATCAGCTTTCATCAGAGACAAGAGATTTTATCTTCAACAAGGGGGGGGGATCCCAGATCATTACCGTCTTCTTCTCAAAGTTTCATAATGGAAAGCTACAGGAACAATGGACGGAACAAGGGGATTTGTAGAATGTCTACAGATATCAATTTCTACAGATATCAATCCTGGAGACCTTTTACTTGCCTAAAAATCAACAGAATTAGTTGTACAGGAAAGACACTCAAGAGCACCGTTTACGGACAAAACGACTCGTACGCTGCATGACCTACGAGCGGCCAGCGAAAGTTCAATTACAGATAACCAACATGACATGTTGAAGTCGAGAGTTCAAGGAACAGTTCAGCGACATCACCAGTGTATTGCTACTGACATCCAATACTTTCAACACATGAAACATTAGTGCAGTGTAATTGCAGAACATTAATGTATACCACTGCCACAAACGTGATGTTCCTTCCATTCATTTGAGAGTCATTCATAATTCAACAGCGTCTTTTTCACCTGCAAGAAAGAAAGCCTCCTCCCTTTGGAAAAATGGCAATGGCGGAAGAAAGATCATCCCCTAGTTTGACTTTCAAAAGCTTCTAACTTGTAAAATTATCGTCATTTTAACCGATATCCGGTGCTTTCTCATTCTTTTACTATTAAGTATGCCACCGTAGTTATTAGCACTTAAGAACAGAAAAGCTGAGAAGAAATAAGTCAGTCACCTTCTTATTAAATTATTAGAAATAAATAGCAAAATATAGTTGTGTATTTATGTAGTCATCATATAGTTTGATTTATTTCTAATTTGATAAACATCTTACATTATTTTCGGAAGATTCCTTTATTCCCTAATATAAAATTATTTCGCCCTTCAGTGAAACTACTAAGTGCATGAAAAACGTTTTAAAAAGATAGCTTTTGGATATTAAAATTAATTTGAATCTAGTGCTTTTAATTAAATAATTTTATTTATCTTTTAATCTGGTATTTTAGATCATTTCTTCTGAAAATGATATAAAAAAACAATAGTGATTATTAACCATAATCACTATTGTTTCTTTATATCATTTTCTGATGATTCAGTCAGAAAAACTTTGCTTTTTATTCTGTGGGGCTGAAAGAATTTTGAAAATAATTTTAGCTTTCCATAACTTCACTGATTTTCTTTTAACAGTTTCTGATTACTGCAAAAGTAAAACGTGTGTAAGTACTATTTCATATATATAATGGGGCCCACCAGCGGCCGAGCGGTAAAGTCGCTGAACACTGGTAGCTCGGTCCGAGGTTCGAATCCTGCTGCGAACGAGCTGGCTGCATGGGCGTTTTCGTGGTTTTCCCCATGTGTAACGTGTATACGAGCCAGTTTCCCTTAGAAAGTCCTCCACGAAGGCATCCCTCCCCTTAGGCAGATAGCCCTCGAGGCTTTGCCATAATCACACACACACATATATATATAATGTCTGTGGGAAAGAGAAAGGCAGAAAATGTTCATCTCCCAGCGAATTCAAACACTACTTAAAATCAAATATTTCAAGATTTCTTCTTAAATACTATAATCTGTTCAAATTCAGGGAATTGGTTAAAATTTTCCCATAAGTATTCTGAAAAGATTTATTTATAGATTCTGAAAGATTTAGTTAATAGAGTCATAATTCAGTGTTCATTGCCATCCTTACCCAAAATATTGTTTATTTGCTCACAATTGGCCAAGTAGTTAAGCTCGTTGAAGACTGGCAAATTGGTCTGGCTTTATTGACTCAATGAACCGGCTGATGAATTGACGATTTTGAGATTTCCCCGTGTATAACATGAATGCAAATGAAACTCCCTTAGAAAGTCTTCCATACATGCATCCATTCTCTAAGGCAGATAGTGCTCGAAGACTTTGCTTTAATAAATTAAACAACGTTTTTATTTTCCGTGTATATTTACCATTCAAAGTTATCAATACCTGTAGCGCAGACTTTACGAGATGTTATATCAGTTAACTGTTCAGAAGTCGAAATAATTGTTTTGCTGCTATTTTTAATTTTATTACTCCAAACAGAGGAAAGCAAAGTTCTGAATTTGATTTTGCCTTTGCATTTTATCTTTAGTTTCATAGTAAGTGTTAGAAGAGTAATAATTCGCTATCCAGTACAGTTAACTTCTACAGTCAGTCGTTAGGGTACATGCAAGAAGTTTTAGTAAGTAAGATGCCTTTAGACGTTATAAAGCTACTTGGATGATTTGAAATAACTTCAGAACTACTAGTCTAAAAAACCTGGAATATAAAGGGGGTATGACGTGAGAAGATAAGATATTCCCCGACCAGAGATCACAAGCAAATATTATGCAAGAAAAAATAATAAATGCAAATACAATAATAAGGTAAATACAAAAATAATAATGATTGTGCTTACGAAATCTACAGCTTTTATACGAGCTCTTAAACCACCTTGGTGTTTGCATTGCACAATATGGCTTACGTGCAAAATGCCCTCCTACGCGTAGCCGCTTAACTGTGACCATGCGTTCTATGTTGAAAATGTTTTTCTGATGTGTTCTATCGATCTTAAAGTTTGTTGCACTAGTTTCGAAGCAATCCGTAAGCATAATACTAACATTTAAGCAGCCGCTTTCAGTATTCAAGTGTCCTTAAATTTATGAATATTTCTCTACTTCTTGAGCAAAATAAATAGTTGCAAAAATGGAATGGGAAGCTGAAAACCTTTAATATGAAAAATTGAAGAATTATTAGGCTTTTTTTTAATGCAGGAGAGGTGAAAAATGTGTAGTGTCCTCGTCGGGACTCGAACCTGGACCTCTCGTATACGCGTTGAGTATACTCTGTTGAGTCTGCACGAAGGCGGCTTGCTGGAAGGAGGGCGAAAATACCTTATATGCTCCCCTCTTTTTGTAGGGCGACTGGGGATTAGGGAACCCAATCGCCGAATTCTGGTGGTGACGAATTATTGTCCATCACCTTTTAGTTCGAGCGCTATTTATGGAGTGATTAGGATTTTTTGATGCGGGAGACGTAAAGAATGAGCAATGCATGGCTGGAACTTGAACCTGGACCTCTCAAATATGAGTCAAGTATCCTACTATTACACCACGAAGGAGAAAGAAAATACCTTATACAGCAATGGGCGGAACAAAATGAATGCATGTAGCTCCATTTGTTTAGGAAACATAAACAAAAACGCCTGTTACCCTTTAATTCACAGGCGCAGTTATAAAGAGCCGTGATTTCCAGTTTATTTATTTCAAAAAATCTCTCAAAACCAGAAGCACAAAACAGAAACTAATGTGAGTATGTGAAGGTCAAATGCCGTATGAATCAATCCATGTAAAAACAATTACCACCTAGCTCCATTTACTGGCTTTTAAAAATTCAAATAAATCGTTCCGTTTTAATGTCACGTATACGTGACGCTGAGTTGGTAGGAGTGAAATTGTTGCGTCGCGTATACGTGACGCTGGTCTTGAACGGGTTAGGAAACAGTAATTAAATCTGAAAAATGAAGATATTAGAATTCTGAAAGAAATGAAAAAATAGAATCCTTCTAGCAATTTCGCATAAAGAAACTTCATTTATTTAGCAAAGTTTTAAGTAGTAAACTTCGCATAAAAGTAACAAAACAACAAAAAAATAAAAAAACTATTCTGGTATGAATGTTTACGTTTAGACTCTTTGATGTTGCCATACTTTTCGTGTGTTCTGTACGATGTATATTTGGTATGTAAACTGATGAGAGTATCCGGATG